TGTTTAGACCAAAAGGACTAGAAAACTGGCTGTTTTTTCTCCCTAAGGCTCATGAGTTAAGATATTTTCGTAAGGTCCAAAATGTTATTATATTATTAATTTATCGTAATTTGATAGTAAAAAAATTAAAAGATGTATTACATTTTGTTCTACCTAAAAAAAAGAAATCTAATGACTTATTTTTTTCTTCAGAAATAGATGTTTCGTTTCATTTTGGTGTAAACACAATACTAATAAAAATAAAGTTTTGGTCTAACTATTTGGCTAAAGGATCAACTTTAAAAACCTTCCGAAAATAATTTTAAAAATGCATTTGTCCCTTTAGAATCTAAAGTTTTTTTTAAGTGATTTTAAACAATATAATAATCTAGTTGGACCAAAACATTATTTTTTTATTGGTACTGTGTTTAGACCAAAATAATAAGAAAAAGCAAATGAAATATACGTGCTTTTTCTCCCGAAGGTTGAAAGATTAAACACAATTGGTTTTTGGACTGTCCAAATGTTATCTCATTATTAATTTAGCATAATTTGGTACGAAAAAACTAAAAGAAATAATACGTTTTGTCCTGAATAAAAAATATAAAAAGAAAAACGTTAATGACATTTAGTTTAAAAGGACAAATGGTTGTTTTCATTATTTTTTTGAAGAGTCCTAAGGTTGACTTAAAAGTCATTATATTTTTAATTGACAGTCTGTTAATTAATCATTGATCATAAACAATTATATAATTTTTTTATCACAAACATTAACATGTCATTGTATTATAAATCTCTCAAAATATGTTGAAATGTTCTTCAAATTTCATTTTGGCCCAAATAGAAGGAATTTATTTTCCTTTTCGTTGTCTGTATCTATGGTCTTGTTGGTAATTTTTCTTGTACTATTGGATAAATAGCAGGATCAAAAACTGATTTGTAAAAGGTGGTTTTTTTTTAAATTTTAGATATATAATCAGTATAATTTTTCTTGCACCGTACATAACTTTTAATTATAACATTATATCATTAAATTTAGTTAAAATTGTTCTTTGAATTTTTTATAATGTGGAATTTAGTCACTTTTTTCTTTCGATTTCCAAATCGTGGAAGGAGAAAAATAGAAGAATAAAGAACTACTTATTAGTAAAAATTCTTGTTTTATTCTATATCTGTTTTTTAAAAAGTATGCGTTATGATTTTGACTTTTATTTTATTCTGCGTTTAGTCATTTTGAGTTTATTGACGTCGGAACAATCATGGATTGTATTATCAAGAAAAAAAATATGAGTAGTTTGGTATCGCTGCACTTTTAAAGGAAGAATCCAGTCAATATTAGTAATGGTAAGAAATTGGTTGGGAAGGACGATAACGGTGAGGAAGGTCGATTACAAATCTCTCATCCCTTCGTAAATCCCATTAATAATATTTTTTTGATCGACCAACCGTGAAACATGTTTATCGGCTAAGGAGACTGGTCTGAAAAAATTCTTCCGTCGGAATATGGCCTAGGCCTATTATGAATGATTCATAATGAGCTTTGTGACAGCAAGACCTTTGTGGACATTAGACCGTTATCCGAGGCATCCGCTATTTGTACCAGTGGTACGTGACAAAACAGGCCTTTCTTCGTTCAACAGACGCGTATAGAATCCCCAGAATGAAAAATCGAATAAAAAGACAGTAGGTACTGTCGATATACCGTCGGGGCCGAGGACAAGAATTTAACTACCGTATCGAGGACTTTGTCAGACGCCAGAAAGCGTTTGGAGATCTGTAAAACTAACCCGAATCGTTGTGTCATATTTGACGAAACTGCGAGTTTGTTAACAAGTTTGAAAGAGTGCAGCCTCCAATCCACTTGGAGCCTCTGACTCACCCTTTACGCAAATGAGTCCAGTCGCAAACATTGCCTTTTGGGGAATGATCTTTACTCCTGCCTTTGGCTCTGTCGACGCGAAAATCCGAGTTCTTAATTAAAATCCGTTTTCCAGTTGGACTGACGGCTTAAGAGATCTCAGCCGACGTCCTCGTTTTTTTTCTCTATATTGAACATTTATTTTTCTTCAAATTTGGTCACGGTTCTGCAGGCGTAAATTTGCATAACACGCTTTGAGAAACGTGCCATTTGCGAAAGTTCTATTTGGGAAAACAAATAAATCCAAAACGAAATTCCTATTTCTCCCTCTCGTACCTTTCGAAAAAGCTCGGCCTCTTTGAGTCTGGAGACTGTCTGCAGATCACGTATCGCCGTGTATAATTCCTATTGCCGAGTTTGGAGAATACTCATTTAAAACAAAAAGGTAAAACACGATTTGCGATTCTTTCGAAATATGTCTGGAAGAAAACGAACCCGGAAGTCATTTTAAAAATATATATTTTTATCAAAAAAAACTCTGTCATAATCTTGTTACTAAACACATAGATACAACGTTTATTATCATAAACATGCAAGATAAGATTAGGTTCAAATCCATTATATTTCGTGAACTTCTTTCAATTAATTAATCTTTTTATGTAAGGTTTCGGTTGAAATGAAAAAGCTAGTGTCACGTGCGGGATTCGAACCCAGGACCTTCGGCTCAATACGCCGCTGCTCTAACCACTTGAGCTATCGTGACTTCGATTCGCCGAGAATCGAATCCTGATTACCCGACATTTGAAAAATGGCAAAAATGAGGGAAAATTCGAAAGGTAGGTTGAGAAGGAGAGGTGTGTCCTAGTGGATCGAAGTCACGATAGCTCAAGTGGTTAGAGCAGCGGCGTATTGAGCCGTAGGTCGTGGGTTCGAATCCCGCTCGTGGCACTAGCTTTTTCATTTCAAGCAAAGCCTTACATAAAAAGATTAATTTGGTTCAAAGTTAGTTATACACTTTGTCACAGAGAATGTTGTCTGATTGGTGTAAAACCTTAATTTTCCTACGTCTAATTCACATGTTCATGTGCAAACAGAAGCCTTCCCCATTTTTAGACTACATTCATTATGCCTTCTTCCTACAGTCTGCTGGAAGTGGAAAATTTTTCATCTCTTTTCTACTGACGATACAGTTGTGCTAGAGCAGCTGCCGGATGTACCTGTCGTCTCTCACGTCTGTTGATTTAGACCGACACTGTTTCAATCTTATGGAATTCATGCCAGCAGTCGAGTTATATGCGACTTCGCATCGCTCTATCCTTCCTCTATTAACATTACATTCTTAGCAATACGATACTCACTAACATGCTTGTCTGGTACCGAAAAACATAATTAAATAAAATGAAATCAACTAAAAAGAGGAAAGGTTTTCAGTGAAGATCAATTTTCAGTAGTAGAATGAATGATCAGTCAAGATGCTTCTGTTTGTGAAAAAAATAAACAAGCTTAATAAAGCTTTATTTAAAGTTTATGTTTACAAGGATCATTCCTAATTACCAATGATTAAATGACCTAAACGTAATAATGCATTTCATTTTGAACTAATAAAAGTTGGAGCGATAATTTCATCCATCGGCGTGTTATTTTATATCACAAGTTGTTGTAAACACACCAGGCCATTCTAGCACATAAGTTATCGATATCGCAAAGTTAAAGCAGGGTCTTTTTAAAAGATAGTTCCTACTCACAATAAATGTAGGAGTGTACGTACTTTGAGTAGGAACTATCTTTTTAAAAAGATTTAACAACACACTCACTCCACCATTTATCTTTTCTGTTAAAGCAGGAGTCTCAGAACGTTGCCTTGAGAAACAACCACAAGCGATATTGACGTTATATCTGAATTGGTTTTTTTCGATACGTCGTTGTAAAATATACGGATAGTGACACCCTCATTCATTTGTATAGAACGTGTAAAATTAATTTGCCCAACTACGTTTGGAGTGAATAAAGTTTCGCAGCACATACTGCGGAGTTCTCGAAGACTTTTTTTAACCGATGGGACAAAGGAGTCTTATCAAACTCCCCAAATTCCATAGTTTTTAAAACAAAAAATAAACAAAAATTGAAAATGTTTAATATCAACAATTTATTAAGTTTTGAGAATAGCGTTAAAGTTTAAAAACTCATCTCAATTTAAAATTATTGTACGAGGTACCAAATAATCATGTTTACTTTGTGATAATCATAGAAGTAATGGACAGATACGATGTTTCAATTAATTAATTAACGGATCTTGACTCGTTGTAAATAAAATTCCCAGATTATTTCTCATGTCGTCATCAATTGCAATCCGAATGGAAAATGTTTAACGTTTTTCCAGCATTTCTGTATAATTGATCAAAATCGGGACATTTCGCATTGTAAGTTTCAACTAGTTAGCTGGGCAAGACGGGCTTAAATTAAGTCTATCCTCTTTCCTTCTTGACGCCAGTCAAGCACGTATATGGCGTTGAGCGAGTGGGCGATCAACAAGTGGCTTGCCAAGTTTAGATACGATTTTTATCTCGAAATACGACAAAAACTGTCAATTCCGGATTAAAATCTTAATCGCAGGCAGGAAAAAAAACAATCTATTTTCACCTTGTCTTTTTTGTAAAATAAAATTTTTCATTTTGATTTGTATGTGTATTTTTTCGTAAATGGGAACTTATCTCAAGGGTAATTTTTATCTGTCAATAATTTTTATTTCTCAATAATAATTTAATTCGTTATTACTCTTTGTAAGAGTGTTTATTTTCTAATTCAACTCGAACAAAAGTCGTTTAATACAATCATCTAATGAGGCAGGAGAAAAATAGAAATAAGCACAGAGAAGTAGGAAGATGAATAATAAAAAATTAATAAAGAGAAAGAAAAAATAAAAGAGAAGAAGCAAGAGAAGAAAATAAGAAATTTTGATTCTGAGTTCTTGGATATCGTTTCTATGCTAAGTAATTGATTTTTTTCTTAGATATAATTTATTTTAATAGCTAGTCTATTTTATTGTTATACTCGGGTAATTAAGGAAGATGAAAGGAGGAAAGGGCGCGGCCAAGTTTGGTGTGGGTCCGCCAGGTCTCGTAGAAGGGCGGAGCTCGCACCGCGCCGGCTCCCTACCAGCCGGAGTCTCAGTACGAGGATAATCCAGTATTCCAGTCGAGTTCCACCTCTCAGACGGTTCAACATCTGTGCCGACCAGTGATCAAAACCGGAAGAAAAATCCAATTCATTTTTTTTTCAACGTCGTCGTTAATCAAAAGGCTTCAAAATTGCGGAAGATATGGCAAACAACCGTGCAACAAAATCCGGCTTCGCCGCGGAAGCCCAGAGGAAGGTGGGTGAATTTTTTATTTTTTTGCAAACAACCGAAAGAAAAAAATTGTTCAAGATTTTCCCCAAGGCTTTTCCTTTTTTCCGTTGATCCTGTTGACGCCTAGAACAAGGAAATCAGAGGAAATCTAAAAATTTGGCCTGACAAGAAGGGTATGGAGTCGTAGTGAACTGATCGAACCACTAAAAAAAAATAAAATTCTAATAATTTAAATAAATTTTATCTTCACAGTTTAAAAAAAATCAATAGTGTTTTAAAGCAAAAAGATTTTTAAAAAATTCATATGCGAAGAAAATAGGGCTAGGATCAACAGGTGGTTACCCTTGCGCAATGTCATAAAGACGAAATATTTTTTTTAAATATATAAACTCAATTTTAAAACAATAAATTATTGTTCAACTTTTAACAAGAGGAACAGATTATATTTGAAAATTAAAAATTAAAAATAAAAACGTTTTTCTCTTGCACAGACGTGTCTGCCTTGCGTAACAGCGATCAAAAACACTTAATGTTACGTGAAAGGCCGATAAAAATTATTATCCCGGAAAACATGATTTACGCATTTTAAAAAAACCGTCTTCGGTATGAAAATATCCAGAGGAAAATTTCATAAATTCAATCACAGGAATTTCTGCTCCGCAAGAACTTTTGAACGGTTCCAAACCCGCCTGGAAGAGTTCGAGCTTTGGGACAGGTACAAAAAATAAGCATACTTTACTATTTACGACTTCGTTTTCTAGTTAAACCAGCTTTTAACCGTTGCAACGATTGTCAGCACTTCCCTCCAGCCATAAAATTTCCCCGGGTGTTGTCAGTGTGTAAAAAGACTGGATTGAAACGACTTCTGCAACTTGTACTGTAGCTTTTTTTTAAATACTGCAACGGCATGAAACTCGCGGAATTTATTCAGGCTGAACGGTACCTCTAAATATGTCGAATCGGGATTATTATTCTCCAAGATGCAAATCAGCTTAGGAAAGAAGCGGTCGTTGGTTCTCGCCCAGGACGAAGACTTCATAAATATTCACTTATATTAAACCTATTAAAAAAACAAAACAATAAACAATATTGTGTGTTCAAATTAAATCTAGTATGGAAGATGAAAAGAGGTCAAGGTTCAACAGGATGCAGTTGCTTTATAAGATTTTAATTCTTTTGGATGGCCACCATGTTGAAAAATAAAGTCGTCAGAGATTTAAAACTACATATTATTTTATTGTTTTTACACAGTTAATATATATCATTCCCTATAAGGAACATTTTTAAGGTAAAAATTAGGCACGGTTATGGGTACTTATCGATTTTCTCGATATTCGAATCATGTTTCGCGCTTAAATCTTAAACATATACTTCAATATCTAATATCATTCCTAAATATAGACATGGGTCGTTAATAATTGCGCAAGCATTCCTTATCGGTGAGTCAGCAATGGGTCGTCCTGTTTGCTTTTCAACGGTTCGAACGTTCGTAAATCTTCTGAAGATTTTGAGTTTACAAAAAAATCGGTAGATTTCCATTTTCCAGCCGGTCCAAAACTGGAAAGAGAGAGACAAGACCCAAGATTCGCGAGAACGATCTGGCATAGGAAACAGTTATTGCGGATATCTCGGGCCGTTCGCGGGTCACGAATCGAAACGGGCAATCTGCATTTTGCAAGGATCATTATGATCAGGACACGCGTGCCGAGACGGTGATTTTCAGTTGGATTTCCGACTCGTTACGAAAACTAGGGCATTGATTTATAAACAAGAAGCAACAAGTTTGTTTTGTTTATAAAAATAATCCATGTCACATCCATGGCCTTTAATCTTACCTATACCAATACTGATTCATGGACAAAGAACCAGTAGTTATTTCATGAATTGTCCATACAAATTAAAAATAAATTGAATTTAAAAAATTAAAGAAATTCCTGTCTTACAGGAGGGCATAACATCCAACTCGTTGGTTCGCGCGGACAAAGGGTCAAACCAATGTATTCTTCTTTCATCATATTCTCAAATTAAAAAAACTATGGACTGTGCCCGGATTCGAACCTAGGACTGCTAGGGTGGCAAATATGAGTCGGAGAAATTCTTCTAGGCCAAGATTGATGTCCTGATCTGTCAACTAACTTAATCGAAACTTTTATTTCCTGCTTTGTCCAAGCGAAATATAACTAAAGCAAAGTAAAAATACCAATGAATAAATAAACTTTTTACCGAATTTTACATTGATTTATTAGGCAAATTTGGTGAAAATCAACTCTAGCAAATCTGAATTTGAGAGTTTAGTCAATAGTTAACGAATTTTTTAATAACTTTTATTTCCTTATTTGTCCAAGCGAATTATAACTAAAACTAAAGCTGAATAATTAAAAAAATGGATAAATAATCTTTTTACAGAATTTTACATTGATTTATTCAGGAAATTTGGTGAAAATCAACACGACCAAAACTGAAATTTGAGATTCTTAGTCAATACTCAACGAATTTATTAATAATCTTTATTTTTTTCTTTGTCTAAGCGAATTATAACAAAAACTAATGCTGGCTAAAAATACCAATGGATAAATAATCTTTTTGCCGAATTTTGTATTGCTTTCTTCAGGAAACTCAGTGAAAATCAACTTTCAGATCAAAATTTCAGATCCTTTGGCAATAGTCAACGAATTTATTAAAAACTTTTATTCCTTGCTTTTTCCAAGTGAATTATGACTAAAACTAAATTGTACTTAATTATTCTTTATGTGAGGTATTGGTTGAGATAAAAAAGCCAGTGTCACGAGCGGGATTCGAACCCACTACCTTCGGCTTGATACGCCGCTACTCTACCACTTGAACTATCGTGACTTGGATCCACTCGGACCCCAACTCCTTATCTCAATCTACCTTTCGAATTTTCCCTCCTTTTTGCCATTTTTCACAAAAACTAAAGTTGAATAAAAATACCAATGCATAAATAAACTTTTTACTTCAATTCAATTTCAATAGCCAATGAATTTATTAAGAACTTTTATTTACTGCTTTTTCCAAGCGAATTACAACTAAAATAGATTAAAATACCAATGGATAAATAATCTTTTTACCGAATTTTACATTGATTTATTCAAGAAATTAGGTGAAAATTAACACGATCAAAACTGAAATTTGATATTCTTAGTCAATAGTCAACGAATTTAGTAATAACTTTATTTCCTTGATTATGTAAACTAATTTGTTTTAATTAGATCATACCAGTGGTTATAGATTGCTCTGCCTTTTTAATTATTTTTGTGAAAGTCAAAAAATTTTTTTTAGAAATAATGTCCGATAAGTAGTCAACGAACTTCTTAAGAACTAACTGTTATTTTCTTCCCATACAAGTGAATTCATTATAACTAACTTTGACAATGTTCAACAATTTAACATTTTAAGAAAAACTCTTTACTAAATTGGTTAATTCAGAAAATCTGGTCGAAATCAACAAGGGCTTGATATAACAAATTGTATGGTCAATTTGAACGAATTAATTGAGAACTAAGTTATTCTGCATGCGGAAGAGAATTTCTTTTATAGTGAATTATATTTTAAACTTATGTTAAACTTGTGTTATACTTTTGAAGGAACTCATTCGTCGAGAAATTTAGCTCTGGCAAGTCTGAAAGGAAAATCAGTCAATTGTCAACGAACTAACTTTCCTTCAATGTGCGAGCGGTCTATTAAATTATCTTAGACCAAGAGTTGGGGTGGGAAAACCCCTTTCTAATTTGACTTATCTAGGAAATCAACAATGGTGAAATAAAAAAATTGATTTCCCAATAGTCCACGAATTTATTGACTTTTATTTCCTATCCTGTGAAAAATTTAATAGAGCTACCTTAGACCTCCGTTGAACATTTTAAGGAAAAACCCTTTCTAAATCGATTTATCCATTAAATCTGGTCAAAATCAAAAAGGGAGACGAATTAATTAAGAACTAACTTTCATTCCTCGCATTGTATAAACTAATTTTTGCAAACTAAACTTGGGTGAAACTTTTCATGGAAAATCACTCTTTTAGTCAAGACAGGACGATTGGTAGGCCAATAGTCGACGGATTTATTAACTTTTATTACTTGCATTCATGAAGAAATTTTTCTATGATTGTGAGTAACTAATACATATCAGAAATTAAATTTTTCAGTGAAATACCTTTTAAAAAGTTTTTAATAGATTATTCTGTAAATTTGAGGGAAAATCTGCAAGAGCTCGATATAAAAATTGCTTGGCCAGTTGTTAATTTTTTCCTTGCACTGTGTACACTAATTTTTGTAAAATAAATTATAACAGGTGTGAAACATGTTACAGAAACCTTGTTTTTGTGTGCAAAAACTGGAAAATTGATCGGACAATAGACAATGCATTTATCAACTACTTATTTCCTGCATTCTCTAGATAATGTTTTACGAGATTACATCAGGAGTTAAATTTTCATTGAAAAATATGTTTTTATAACTGCTATCTTCTGGAAAAATTGTGATTATTTTAATCGTCGCAAGTACTTGAAAGAAAAAAATTAAGCATTGAGGGGCGCTTCTACGATTTAAAGCCGGAATAGACAATTTGACAAAAGAACAATTTTTATCGGTTGCCAACCTGACAGATTAGTCATAATTTTATTTCAATGCATTTCTTATAATGATAATGATGAGCAATAAAATACCGGAAATGATTTGTTTCCAAATATGGTTTATTGGAACGACAGCTCTGACGGTTCCTCGAGATAGTTTGATTTGAGTACTGTTGATATCACAGCAATATCATCAATGACAAATCCATTCTTAATGTTTTTCCTCTTGTTATCTGTACAGTTGAACTTCGATTTTGGCTCTATGTAATCATCATTGCAATCCCTTGTGTTATTGTTGCGTTTATGTTTACAATTTGTCTCATACTGTGCCAAATAGAATGGTTTAAAGTATGTCTATATAGTTAACTTTGTAGTAAGAAATCTTTCAAAAAACTGACTTGAAACACAAATAGGTCTTGTTTGTCCCAGTGGG